GAAGAGGTCCCACTGGGGTAAAGACATGGTTGGGGGGGGGGGGGGGTCTGGAATTAGTCCATTCACGCTCGGCTAGACCCTGGGCATGCTAACAGGCTACAGTGCTAATCTAGTTAGAGCTGGAAGCCATGCAGACACAGGGAGAGCACGGCGGAGGGTGGGGATAGAGGAGGTATCGAGTGGGGGTGAGGGGAGTGGTGATGGGTCAGGGTCTCGAGGGCCGGATGGGGAGCTGGATGGCAGGTGGTTAAAGCTGAATAGTAGAGTAGGGAAGAAATTACTGGCTGAGGGGGCAGATGATGGGGCATAGGGCAAAAGCGGGCAGAGGGAGAGGGATGGCAAAGGGCAGGTGTGTGTATTATGTGTGTGTATTGGGGGGGGGTCAGACTGGTTTTTTTCTACAGCCAACAGATGGAGAGAGGAAAATGAAAGGGGTGATGGGGTGGCCCGGTGATTAGACAGACCCTTGTTGAATCACATCCAGCTCATTTAATCCTTAATGTGTGTCTCGTCAGTGGCACTGAAATAGAAAAGAATGTCCTGTACAGACAGAAATCATGCTCTACATTATTTACAGTGAAATGCATCTATAACCAGAACGCACTGCGGCCCAGACAGAGGACACATATTTCCCCAGAGGCTCCCTCAGGCGTCTCACTGACTAGTCTTGTGATGTTTCCCACTGGAGATGCACCATGACCCAGTAACTTGTTCACTTGATTTCCTGACTATAAAAAAAAGTTTGTAAAAAAAAAAAAATACCTCTCCTTGCTCATATCATTTAAAAGCATTTTTATATCCTCACCTGCGCATACTGTGCAACCGTCACTCTCGCTTACCTTTCAGCATTTGCCTTGTGGATGTGACCTAGATCGAGTCACTGAACTGCTGGCAACCTCAGAAGTGTTTTGCGTTTTTTTTTTTTTTGGCTGACCCTAACCTCTGACTTAACAAGTAAACATAGAATTCCCCCGCAGGAGTTAAACAGACAAAGAAGATAAAAACAACGTTCATAACTGCAACACTCTCCTCGTAAAACGTGATCGTTTAACAGACATGGGATCATTTGTTAGAGCTACTCGGTGGTCGTGTTGTGGCTCTACTGCACACTTAAGACTGCTTGGCGTTTTAAGCTTTCCTGCTGTTGCACTCGCAGATAAAAATCGCTCCGACAGCTAAATAGCGCAAGGAGTGTAAGTCAGAGAATAATAAACAAAATAGAGTTTAAAAAAAAAGGGTTGTAATGGCTGAGAGGGGGAATGATGTAAACGTTGCTTGTCTAGCAGATTTAACCAGGTTGTCCTAAATCAGGTTTGGGCTGGATATAACAATAATAATGTAATATATCCGCATCATTTATAAATCCACTGCGTTTCACTCTTTATTTACCATTCAGCGAGAGAAATGACATCATTCTGATCATATTTTGAACCTTTACTGAATTGCGTTAGCTGTCATATTTGATCAGCGTCACCACTCTATTCTGTCTGTCTGCTTGCTGTCTTACCTGAGGTCTAACTGCACTCCATAGCAGACAGGTTGTGACTGGCTCGGCGTCACTACGTTACATGACATAAAGTGTACAACAGGAGGCTTAGAATAAGTTTGGTTATGGGATTCACTCGCTACATGCACATCAGCCCCGGATTCGCTTGGTCATATTAGAAAGTGACGACTGAATAATGAGTTAAGCATTCATTTATCAAGATATTTACTATTTCAGAAGCAGAGTCGGAGTATATCCATCACCTTAATGGCGCACAGAGGGACGCTTTTGTCAGTATGAGAATAACAAAGTGACAAAGACAAAATGAAGGAGCAGCGTGGCTCTTATTAATATCATGATCATCATGTTGTTCAGTCAAATACCTTAATAGACTTCCCCTTGTGAAAGTGTGACTTCACAGCTGAATATAAAGCAGTGGAAGTGTAGTCCAGCCGGTGTCAGTAAATGGTCTGACGTACAGAGATAAACTGGAAGGAGCAGAGCTTAGCAAATAGTCAGTATATTTATATAAAGACCCTGATTCGCTGCCTTTGTGGCTCTCGGTGTGAGCAACGTGTGAAGACAAGAAGAAACTAAGTAAAGAACGTTAAAGTGAGGACGACGACGTCAACACGCGTCAACACCGCATCTGTTTTCACACGCCATCACGTTACTCTTTATACAGTAAAGCTTCCAGCTGTTCCATTAATGTACTTTCTGACTCTCTTTTCGCATACAGTCACACACCTACAGACACACGCGCGCACCTCCCGCCGTCTCACCGTGATATACTTTCTCACATGCACAAAAATTGCGAAAGTGTTGATTGAGCATTGCTTTGGCGTTTGAGATTTTTCGCAGACTTACATTTCAAACTGCACCCAGAACCGGGATTTTTGATTCTAATGAATTAAAATCAGCTCTAATTGAGGGATAAATGTATTTTTTTTATGAGATGAAGCGAAAACCTTGCGCTGAAAAACTAAAAAACAAGAAAACATTCACAGCAGATCACACATACTGCCTTTGAGGATGGCCTCGTTGACTTCAATCTCTCCTTTGGTTGGCTCCTGATACTGCAGGTGGGGCTGGTAGTGGAAGAGTTCGGGGCTGGGGGCGTCGCTGGAGAAGCCGTTGGACATGATCTCTCTGGGACTGTCCGCCCTCTCAGGCTGCGCTTCGTCGAACACGGCCACCAGCTGGAAGAGACACAAACAAGCCGGGCTCAAACTGTGTCCTAAATACACTTAAATATTAAAACATAATGTGCAACACGCTCTCAAATGAACAAGCTTTCCTCCAGATGAGCATGACAGTATAAACAATGAGATTCCTGGCACATGAACAAGCTGGAAGACACGCAGCCAGGTTATATAGCGTCTCCGCTGTGCCATGATCACAGTGAGGCTTTTATGTGATTTATCTTGCCAACAGTGGGGAAGCAACCTGCTTCATTCTGCCAAGTGTGCAGATGTGTGTGTGTGTGTGTGTAGGCAAGCAAACAGAGCTGGATTCACAGCTCATTCGCTCTCAAACCTCTTACGGTGCATAACACGCCGGCTGATGCCACTTCTGCAGCCCAACAACTTTCTTCTTCTTGGAACAAAGGGGGAGAGAAAAAAAATCGGACCGATGATTGTGCAGAGGCCGGTTCAGAGGAGTTAACAAACACACACACACACACACACGGCGGGGTGAGGTGTGTATGTATGAAATTAGCAGTCAAATGAGATCTGACACGAGAATGAGAAGCTGTCAAACACAATGACACGGCTGCCACAATGAGACGGCGGGAAGAGACGGGGGCGGCCAAATGAACAGGGGATGGAGGGCAGAGGAACGACAAACAATGCTAATTGAGACAGGGACATGATGGCAGATAGAGCGAAGGGAAATGTGTGTGTGTGTGTGTGTGTGTGCTGACTGCGGGACTGTGCCATCGTAGGCTACGTGGTTTGATAAATGGATGCGTGGCGGCGTGACGCTCTCATTAGACGGTGCAGGCGAAGGAAATGACCACTTAATGAAAAGCAATAACCGCAATGGAACGAGGGATGGAAATAAAACAACAGACGAGTGGAGGACGTCAATTAACAACAAAGGAGCACGGAGGCTGTGTGTGTGTGTGAGTGTGTGTGAGTGTTTACGTGTGTAAACAATAAGCATGGAGGAGGCGACAAAATATGTATCATCCATCACGCTGTGACGCCGCCTCTCACCTCAACCTCCCGTGATTCAATATCCTCATGACACCTGGTCGACGCCATGCAAA